GCTGAAGGTAGTGCTGGAAGGGGCAGGAAAACCGGACGCCATCAGGAGCCAAGGCTGCGGCCCGGGAAAGGCCTGACTCCTCCAGGACCCCCCAAAGAACCCTGATGTGGGTCTAACTTGCTAGAGTCCCCCATGTCCCCAAGGCCCACTTAGGGCCCCCTCTGGGCTACCCTCAGGGGCAGAATGACCGTGCCCAAAGGCATCATCCATCCTGGCCAGCCCCCAGGCTCTGCAGTAAGTGCCAGGACCCTACCTCTCCTTTCTCAGGGCTCCTGGACGTCCCATACCCTCCTCTGTCTGTGTGAATGCATCTCGGAGGTAACTCCTCTGGAGGGGTCCTCTGTCATAGGCAGGACTCAGGCTTGGGAGACAACCATTGGCCACCAGACCAAGCTCTGCTATTCACAGGCTGCACAATCGTGGGCAAGCCTCCGCTTCTCCATCCATACAGTGGGCATATAACAACTCCCTTCCATTCTACAGAGATCAGCTGAAAGTTAACCCACCAGCCAACAAATATCAATATTTATTTTTATTTATTTATTTTTTTTGTGGTACACGGGCCTCTCACTGTTGTGGCCTCTCCCGTTGCAGAGCACAGGCTCCGGACGCACAGGCTCAGCGGCCATGGCTCACGGGCCCAGCCGCTCAGCGGCATGTGGTATCTTCCCGGACCAGGGCATGAACCTGTGTCCCCTGCATCGGCAGGCGGACTCTCAACCACTGCGCCACCAGGGAAACCCTCAATATTTATTAAACAAGAGTTCCAGGGCAGTGTTTCTCAAACTGTGAGGTGCATACACGTCACCTGGGAATGCTGTTAAAATGTAAATTCTGACTCAATACGTCTGATGAGGGCCCTGAGAATCTACATTTCTAGACTCCTGGGTGGTGCACATGTGATAATCCCACACCCTTACCACGCCCACGCCCCCGACAATCATACGCTCAGGTTCCAGAGGGGAAGGGTCCACGCCTCAAGTTTCTGGGTACACCAGTGAAGTCAGGTACACCAGAGGAGCTTGGAAGACTGGGGGAGAAGGGACCAAATGGGGGGTTGTGCTAGGCAGGGGAAGGGTCCTCAGCCCCGACAGGGCCGGCAGGTGACTTGGGAGCAGCTGGCCACAGTACAGGCCAGACCCATTAACCTGGCAGCCAGGAGGAGCTAGAGGCAGGACCTAGGGAGAGGGAGTTCTTCCTCCAAAGCCAGAGGCCCCAACAGGGCCCAGCCCACCTCCCGGGGGGCCAAAACGAGGCCCTAAAATCCAGGCCTCCACTCCTGGCAGGACCAGGTCAGTCTGAGCTGTGATGTTGGGGGACAGTTCTCTCAGACAGGTAAGTGAAGCTATTTTATTTTTCTATCTTAGTGAAAAATCTGTGGTGTTCATACTGTTTCTAAACAAACTTGACATGAACAATAACCTTTTTCCCCTTGGAGAAGCTGGAGGGTCATATATCACCCACCTCCCCACCAAGCAATATATACATATGTGCACGTAATGTTTCTGCACTTCAAGCAAGAGAAACCCACGACTGCTTCAACTGCCCCCTTCTCTCAAGCTCCTGGGACAGTGTCTGAGGCCCTCCCTGGGAATCAGAAAGCATCTTCTGGTCTAATCCATGTCCCCCTAACTTCAGAGCAAGGCCAAGTCCTTGTGAGTGATCCGCCAGAGGACACCCTGCCAAGTCCCTCTGCTCTGAAGGGGAAAGCAGGTGCACTGAGTATGTCTTTTGTGGGTGAAGAGACCCAGAGCCTGCTCTTGAGACACCCATACACACGCCCCCACTGAGCCTCCAGGCCTGGCTGCTCAGGCCCCTCCCACCATGACACACTGCCCCGCCCTCCTCCCACCAACCAGGTGTGCCTGAGAACTCAACTCCCTGCCCCACTGGAAGATACCAAGTGGAAACATGGAGCAGAATACAATGCAAGATGATAAATGAGCTGAGATGTAATGGCCTAGCCAGGCCAAGTACTGTGGAGAAGGCACATCAGGCTCCCACAGGAGGCCGCCTGGCATCTGACAGAGCCTGAAAAGAGGCAGCCTGGTGGCAGGGCATTCTGGTTCACACACAAACTAACTGACATTTCACTTTCACCAGCCTCAGTTTTCTCATCTGTACCCTGAGAATTGGCCTAGATCATTTCTATGCTTCCTTTCAGTCTAGAATTCTGAGCAGCACCATCAAGGGGTGTTTACAAGCTCTGGCTGCCTGAGTTCAAATCCTGGCTCTGCCAATTCCAGTGAAATCCACAAGAGTCCCTTCACCTCTCTACTCGTAACTCCTGGGCTGTAACATGGGATTGAAGAGAACACCTACTCAGGGAGGGGGGTTACTGTGTGGATTGAATGAGGGCACACCTGGCATGGAGTGTTTAATAAATATGTATTATTATTCTGTGAACTCTGTGGCATGCTGCTGCCACCATTCTTCTTATGGCCTGAATGTTTGTGTCCCCTCAAGCTCATATGTTGTAGCTTTAACCCAAAATATGATGGTATTTGGAGGTGGTGCCTTTGGAAGGTAATTAGGGTTAGATGAGGTCATGAGGGTGGGGATTTCATGATGGGATTAGTGGCTTTATAAGAAGGCAAAGAGAGAGGGATCTCTCCATGAGCACCCATGGAGGAAAGGTCACGTGAGGACATAGCAAGAAGGCAGCCATCTGCAACCCAAGGAGAGAGCCCTCACCAGACACCAACACTGCTGGTACATGGATCTTGGATTTCCCAGCCTCTGGAACTGTGAGAAATAAATTCCTATTGTTTAAGCCACCCAGTCTATGATATTTTGTTATGGCAACCTAGCAGACTAAGACAAGCCCCATGCTCATAAATGAAGTCAGGACCAATGACCAGCCATCCCCATCCCCTACTCTCTGCATTGGGAGCCACATCAGGTCCCGCCAAACCCAGGAAAATCAACACCATGCACACCCTGGAGGCCACGTGCACAGTCTCAAGCACACACAGGGTCAGATGAACCTCAGCATGCTGAGCAGCAGGGCGCAGGCATTGCGACAGGACAGGGAGGACGGGCAGAGAGGAGGCAAGCAAGTGGGAAGCCTAGTGCAGTCAGCGGGGGGCGGGGAGCCAGTACAGCCCATGACCGAGCAGCCCACGCCAGGGACACCCAGCTCCTTACCTCCCCTGTGACCACCGGGCCTGTGTTCCCCCAAGAAGCTGGAGGCGTGCTGGAAAGAGTAGAGAGCAGGAGACAGGGAGCAGTAGGTACCGAGCCAGGTCTATAGGAAAAAGTGCCGGAAAGAAGCCCTAAGAAAGGGTGTTAGGTTCGGGAGTCCATGGTATAAGTGGTTTCCAAGAGGCCAGAAAGACCCAAATGCCAAATGAAGATCACCCCCAAGACCAGCCTGTACCGGGGGCACAGAACAGGGGATGAGAGAGCAAAGGGAGAAGACCCCACACACTGGACTGTCCCACATGGGCACCTGCCTCCCACAGGCTGGCACCAGGTCTGTCTGGGGGAAGATCTCAGCAGATTTCCTGGGATTGTGTGAACAGTCTCTCAATGGGGAAAGGGACCAAGGGACCCACAGGTGGACAAACAGCTCTCAAGAAGCCCCATCGGCCATGGTTAAAGGAGGCTGTGCCCCGCACAGATGTCATAGTCAATCTCCCAGGACCCAAAGGACACAGAGGCGTGGGAGTGGGGACTCATAGTCCAAGGCCAGTGTCAGAGAGTGGAAGTTCCAATCGTGGATCCACCGCAAATCTCTGGGTAACTCCAGGTAAGGTACCTCCCCTCTCTGGGCCTCAGTTTCCCTGTATATAAGATGGGAGAGTGTCCCCATCTAAAAGAGAAAAGAAGGTGACAAATACTTTACCAATGCCAGACACCAAATCCCTACAGGGTCACACGTGTTTCTAGACTTTTCTCTGGGGGTTGGTTTGTGCTGGAATAAAGAGATGATCAAACATCCACGATTCCTGGCAACAGTGTGGACAGAGGGGCTCCTGGGACCTCACTGCCACCAAGAGCCACCAGTCAGGCTCTGTGATCCCAGGATGCAAGGATCCGTGGAAGAAGGTGCCTGAAGCACAAAGTCCGAGGGAGGGCTTGTACTGCCATTAACACCTTCAGGGTCAGTTCAAGGGCACTCTTTCTCCAGGTGGGCACCCACAGCACACACGATGAAATTCCTACATCACTGACCCTGTGTGCCTGGCTCCCCACCACAGCATCACTCGCCCTGGGAACTGGCTCTGAACTGCCCATCACAGGACCCCAGCATTGCCTCCCCGGGCCGCTCACTGCAGGTGACCAGCAAACACCTGAGGAGAGCCAGGCTGCTCTGTGCCATCGAGCACCTGATCTGTAGCCGATGCCAGCCACTAGTGCCACTCTAACAATGGGTGGCACGCTTTTAAAGCCTTTCTCACCCTGGATACACAACTGATTGCTCTTGTTCATGGTAACCCTGTGAGGGCAGGTATTACAACCCTGTCTTTCAGGTAAATCCACTGAGGCCAAGAAAGGTGAAGAGCTATATGCCCAAGGGCACACAGTCAGGTGACTATCTGTCGACAGAGCCAGGGCAGGAACCTGAGTCTTCTGACCTGACATCCGGCCCGGCGCCTGCCGTCAGCTGGCATGTGCTGATGTGGTTGGTTACCCTGGCATCCACCTGGCTGGTCAGTGCCTGGGCACTCCCGGGGGTTAAGTATCTTAAACGCTGCCCTGCAGGCCCACCCTCAACACGGCACTGCTGCCCTGCAGCTGCCACCCGCTGCCGGCACATGGGGGCCAGAGTGTAACGAGCTGCGCACAGTGGTGGGGAGACCCGGCCGGTGCTCACACCTACCTTTGATGACAAAGGCCTCCGCCAGCAGCCGCATCTGATACAGGGGCTTATTCTCCATGGACATGTCATCAATCCCGGCCCGCGCGTACATGCTGATGGCATCTCGGTACGAGCCCTCCACGTAATGCAGCTTGCCCAGGATCAGCATGGCCTCACACATGTACTGCGGCTGAAAGGCCAAGGACCACATCAGCAGGCTCCTGCCCCACAGACCCCGGCCCCACCCCCACCGAGGACCTGAGAATGAACGCTCTCCTCACCGAGCCATGAGGGTTTGCCTACGATCCTGCTCAGAACTCCCCTCCTCTTCCAGGAAGCCTTCCCGACCCTCAAACACATGTGGACAGCTCCCCTCTCTGCACACCTGCAGTCCGTGGCCTATGCTGTGGCTCTTAGTGACATTAGTCCCTCACGTCTTTTAGTGACATGAGTCCCTAATTGCTTCATGTGCGTGTACCTTATGCCCCCAACTAGACGGCAGGCAGCTTGCAGACTGGCCCTGACTCCTCTCTCCTGAAGCTCCCAGAAGCTTCGGCCCAAGGCTGGCACTCAGCTCAGGCACTTGTTCTTAACACCAGTGGGCAGTCAGGGGCCCAGCCAAGTTTTGCGGGGCCTAAAGCTTATATAACTGGGGGCTCCTCTATATACGCATATATGTACAAATATATAACTAGGTGAAAGGCCTTGGAAAGAGCCCTGCAGGTGAGGCAGCTGAAGCCCACACTCAAAGCAGCAGAACCCCCGTGGGGAGACGGCCACAGCAGCAGCACAGAAGACAGAAGACAGGAGTAGAGTGAAGGCCCATGAGGCCACTGCCCTCATCTTATCAGAGCCAAGTGCCTGCATTCAAACCAGTTTTCTTTCCCCTACTTGACCAAGTGCCGCTTACGCCCAAATCTCCACCCCATACAAGGACTCTTAGGGCCTCCCTCAGAGCCCAAGGACGTGTGGTCAGCCCTGCCTGAGAGTCCTGGCCTTGGACGTGGGCCCAGAGCTCCCACCCTCTGAGGCCACTCCACTTCCATGTCTCTGCTCAGCCGACCCACCACCCTCTTGGCCAAGCTCTGGGTGCCACCCCTGCCACACAGCATCAATTCTGTCCACAGAGCTCCCAGGAGATGCAGCGTTGGTCAGCACCCCGGCCTCTGTCACCAACAGGAAGGTGTTGCCCCTGACTCCCTGCAGGGAGAGCAGAGTCTGGGGAACCTGTGACCCCAGGGGAGGCGTCCACCACTCCTCGCCATCTACTGCCCTCTCAGAAGCCAACGAAGAGAAATGGAACACAGCAAAGCCAAATTCTCCTTCCTCACTGGTCTTTGGTTTTTGTAAATACACGTTCTTCCTTTGCTCACACAAGCCCCCATCTAGAAGAGCCTTCCCTTCCCCTCGGTCTATCCAGATCCCCCTCTATCCTTCGGAGCCTTGCTCAGGCCCACCTCCTCCTAGAAGCCTCCCTGACTACCAGATAACTCCCTTCTGCTGACCTCCTACAACGTCTCTACCAAGTGGACCCACTGGGCCCCTGTGTGCCTGACCTGTTGACTGGTGATTAACTCTCAAAGGCTGAATTTTTCAAGGGGACTTGCTAGTCTCCCCAGACAGGTTGCCTACACCCTGGGCCAGGGCCACAGATCACACACCCCCAGAGGCATGTGGCCTACAGTCCCTCAAGCTGAGCAACAGCTCTGCCATCCCTGCTCCCCTGGTCTCAAGCCACAGGCACATTTCCTCCCTGCTCTGGCCTGGTTTTCCCCATTGCTGAGGGTGAGAAAATAACAGCCACCCCTCAACTCCCAGCACAGCAGTGCCAAGAGCATTAATAGGGCAAAGTCCAGAAAACAGCTTTGAACTTTTCTTTAGAAAGGAGCTAGATAAACACAGGCCGTGGGTAATTATTATTATCCTGTCCTACTATAAAGGGGGAAAAGGGCAGCTAAGCTCAGGACACGTTTCAGGGCAAGACAACAGGGTGTAGCTCAGAGTGGTTCCTGGTGGATCAAAGACAGTTGACAACAGAGCTTCCACCAAGCTGGCAGAAAATTAAGGACAATGTGGTGAATGTTTCTAAAGCTAAAGTTATACTATTTAAAACACTACCCTTAATTCTTAAGCACATCTGTCTTGTGTTTCAGTGTTGTTTTTTCTTTTATGGAGTGATGGTTATAGAAGATGGTATGGTTTTGCTGTTGTGTTTTGGGGCTTTTTTAATGTCCTTACTTGGCAGAATGAAAAGTTGGCTACACTCAGCAGGACCCATGCCTCTGAATTTGAACCTGGCCTGTCAATCCAACAGTCAGGGAACCACAGAGCCCAGGCCCTGTGGAAGGATGCTATGCAGGAAGTCACTGGGTCTGGGGAATAGTCCCTCTGCTGGGTGGGTCAGGCGTGTCACCTAGTCTTTTTGTGCCTCATTGTCTCTGTCAATAAATAGGGAAGAATGACCTCATGCGGATACCCAGGTAAGAGGAAGAAGAGATGAGGAAATACGTCACAGAAGCAAAATGAGACCTGCAAAAGCAGGAGTGGCAGCATCACCACCAACGTTAGCTCAGGTTTCTCAGTCATTATTTCATTTCTACTCCAGCACTATGGAGACAGCATCAGGAAATGGCAAACAGCATGAGAACTTGGGAGTAGAGGCAAATAGGCCCGCGTTCAAGACCTGCACTGTGGTCCTTGGCTAAGTGACTAACCTCTCCTAGGTCTCAGTTTCTTCATCTGGAAAATGGGGATAATAGTAAATACCACTGCAGAAAGTTACAGAAAGGCACCAGTGAGAGGGGGCAAAGCCTGGCACTCACTGGATAACAGAAGTTAGGACAAATGGCTCATTTTCACCAGCCTCCAAAGCACTGAGCTGTACAGGATCTCAGAGGTGACTAAGAGTAGAAAGTTCCAAACTACCCTGACGAGGCGCCCCAGGACCCACCTCTCCTCCTCATCCCATCAGAGCTACTCGGGATGCAGGGGAATCCACCTGAGATTTCATCTGCTGCCAGGAAAGAGCATCCCCCCAGCCACACCCTGGCCTTTGGGGTAAGATAGAGAATCCCTCAAACTATTTTTAATATTTTATTTTGCCTGATCAACAGCAGGTCTTTGGCCTTGGCTCGGAAAACAGTGAATTTCTCGATTTCATTGGTGTCTGTATATGTCTTTGATTAATAAAGCATGGTAAATTTTTAAAATTAACTGCTAGCCATTTTTTAATTTTTAATTTTAGTTTTTTGGTCACACCGCACAGCTTGCAGGATCTCAGTTCCCTGACCAGGGACTGAACCCGGGCCACAGCAGTGAAAGCCCAGAATCCTAACTGCCAGGCCACCAGGGAACTCCCAAGCATGGTAAAATTTGTACTTAATAAATGTGATATGATAGACAAAATAGTTTTCACAATAATACACGTGGATACCATTCAGCCAATACAAAGAATGAGGTACTGGCATGCAGAAAGCTTCAAAGTTCTCAGTGCAAAAGAACAACTTGACAAATATGAATCCTATGACTAATAAGAAAAGAAAGCTCCACACATGTGTATGTGTGTTTGTTAACGCACAAAGAAAGCATATGGGGTTCACACCAAATGGTGACCAGCACTCAACTCTGGGGATGGAAGTGGGCATGGGGGTAGGGGTGGAAACAAGGATGTATTTATTAGTCAAACTCCTTATTTTATTTAGTGAACTTTTTTTACAATAAGCCTGAGTCATTTTTATTTTAAAAAGAATTTTAAAATATATAATAGTGTCTACTGGAAAGAAAAGAATTAAAAGGGTCTTGGTGGGAAAAGCCTGAGACCCATCAATCAAGTCCAACCATTTTGATTGGCAGATGAGGAATTGGAGGGTCCAGGATATCAGGGGACAGGCTCAGGGTCAAGCAGCTATTTTAATCCAAGACAAAACCTCCCAGAGCTACAATAATCCCTGTCAAGGAGTCTAAACGCAGTTACCTTAAACTTCCAGTACAGTCTCCCCACACTGCTTACAGAAAACGCCCCCCATTTCTTGGCCTGCTGTTCCAGTCCCACTCTCTCGCCCTAATGTCCCTTTACACCAATTACACGCCAGTCCCTTACACTCTTGCTAACTGACATACTTTAAGGAAATTCTTCTAAGAGGAGCTCTTTGATTATACACTGCTTCCGTAGCTTGGAATGCCTTGTCTTATCTGTGTATATCTATATCCTGACCTCCTTCAAGGTCCAGCCCCCAGATGGGTCCAATTCCAGCACTACCATAATCCTGAGTTGACTCCCCACCTCACCCCAGGGAGTGTCCCCCTCAGACTTGCCTCCCCATGTATCCTACTCCTGTAGCATGTGTCACAGTACACCTTGAATAATTTTTTAATAGGACTATCTTCCCAGTAGCCTTGCAACCTCCCTGAGGGCAGGGTCCATACTGGACTCATCTTTATTGCCCTGAAAGTACATAATACAACGCCTTGCACATAGCAGGTTGCAATAAAATATGTAAGTCAGGAAATATATTACTTTGGAACATCTCTTGAAAAATCATTTCCCCTTGGGGTCTCTAATGACATACCCATACTTCTTTTATAGCTCAGGATACATGGTAATTGAGAACAGTTTCAAACTTGAAAGTGCCTGAGAATCACCAAGACAGCTTGTTAAAATGCAGGTTCTGCATCAGATTTTGCATTCTGAACCAGCTCCCAGATGATGCCCATACTGTGTGTGGGTGGACCATGCTTTGAGCAGTAAAGGTCTAAAGAAAGCTGTGACTATACTTCCCTCTATACTGCCCCTCAGTGCCTTGCATATAGTAGTTGCTCAATGAGTGCACGTGGACTCAAACTGGCTTGCCATGTTATGGAGTGCTTCCGTTGCTAGCCAACTCAGAATGTTTGCCTGTTTCCAACTAGATCATACATTCACTGAGGTGTTATTTCCCTGAGATCCTCAAAGAAGCCAAAGGACCGGGCACAAACTAGGTCAACCAAACGTTGTGTAATAGAAATATATAACTTGGGCCACAAGTGCAAGCCACAAGCATAATTCAGATTTTTCTAGTAAACATTTCTGGTCACATTAAAAAAGGTCAAAATAGGTAAAATTAATTTTAATAATACATTTTATTTAATATATTCTAAACATTCTCATTTGAATACGTAATCAATATAAAGAACTGATGCTCTTTTATATTCCGCGTTTTGTACTAAGTCTTTTGAAATCCAGTGTGTGTTTCACACTCACAGCACAGCTCAGTTTAGACAAGCCATGTGGCTAGTGGCTACTGTACTGAACAGGGCAGGCCAACCCTTAAGGGACACTTGCTGCTCAGGTGACCAAATGACCCCAGAAGGTCCTCACAGCACAGACGAGGCAGGAGAGAGGAGAGACAGCTCCAGGCTGGGTGGGTGGGGGGTCTACAACTTACCGGCAGCCTCCCGTGATTCAGGATGCTGCTCAGATAGTTTCTGGCTTCATTCATCTTCGGCGCACTCTTCCCCAGCAGAGGGATAGAGTCTTGTATCTTGGCGTGGTTCTCCTGCAAACACTGCTCCAGCAGGGCCTCGGCCAGGAGCAATTTCCCAAAGCCATCTGGAAAACAGGGCAGGGACCACAGTGGCTACGTGAGGACAGTAGTCCCCTGAACATGGCAGATGTGGAGACTGGTACACGTCCCTGTACCCACCCAACCACCCCCAACCCAGCACGTGAATGGCTCGGATCTGAGAAAATAAAGACATAGTTTCTATGCACTTAAACAGCCTTTAAAGAAAAAACACACATTCTACCATGGTCACAGCACAAACTGCCCCCTTGGGTTTATTTTCTGTAGTTCAGTGTTTGAGGAGGTGGAGTTCCCAGGACTTGGAAAAAGCCCAGAATTTCAGAATTTGAAATGAGGGAAAGA